TCAATTGAGGTTTCAAAATAGGCTTCTTGAGGTGTCATAGCTTCGCAGATCCAGGTGGCACTAGTATCGATGCAGAAAACCTGCGCCATGCAATCAAGCCCTTTGATTCTTTGATGCTGCGGACCTTCCATCGCCTAGCTCGCGTGCACGACTGGAACAGCTCCACAATGGCGGAGCGCTTTCAGAGCACACACCAGGAGTGATTCAACATGGGTTCATGAGCACACAGGCTGGCTCACAAGCCCATTTGATCATATATAATATAATCCTCATGTGTGAAGATAGATAATTCCAGCTGCTTGACTCAAGGTCCGATCTTGAGACCAACGTTTTGGAACCCGAGGACTCCTTCTGGACTTACATCAATTTTATTGCTGGGAATGCTGCCTCATACCATTTCTTGCCTGCAGCGCCAGATCGGTGCGAGGATCTCCACATGCCACCATCACAGAGTAAGTTTATCCGCGATTATTACGACAGCTGCTGGCATGCCCTGGAAGCTTTGTTGTGTTTGTTTTTGCATGTGTTTGGTCATTTCCAGGTGCGGCATTCTTTGGTGGTTTGGGGTCTTTTAGGCGCTCTCGATGATACCCTGTTGTTTGGTGCATCAGAGCCACAAATTGGCCGTTGAAAGCTTAACGTTTGGAATCAATATGGATACGACCCTCGGCTTTGGGTCGTCACCCTGAGCCCCCACAAAGGCTGTGAGACGTTCTGTACGTTACGGGATCCGTTGGAGCGGTTCTGGAGCGCCTTCCAAAACTGGTCTCCTACCTGTGATCCCCTTGGTATCGAAGCCGAGGCAGTAGAGCTCTTGAAAGACGCTTGAAGCCATTTGAAGCCTTTGAACACGTGCGTTTGTTTTTTGAAAGAATTGTTTTGCTAGCGATCTCCAATGAACTCCAATCTACTGGTAGCTCAGAGTGACTGGCAAGTTAAATCTAAATTGGTTTTTGGATTTCTTTGGGTGCAGACGAAGGAGCTCAAGCAGCGACCCTATCAGCGCGACTGCTTCTTTGTACCGCAGGTGGAGATGGTCTATGGTACCCGAAGAATTTCCAACGGAATGCACCAGTACTGTGATCGTTTTCTACATCAAGAAACTTGGATAAGTGAAAGAACCGAGTTGTTTAATGCCATTGCTTGGACGATGTTTCATCATGTGCGTGTGTCTTGGTTGATCAGAAACTACTTAACTATTTGAATGTGATGCCCGGATATGCCCGATTTCATGCTGTGTGGCTCGATGTTGCTTTTGCGTGCGTGTGTCTTTTTCATAAGTTTGTTTTAGTGATGACCGGATGTTCTTTTTTCATGCGCATGAAACAATAGAAGCCAAAAACAGAAGCCGCCAAGCTTCGCTTGACGTCGTAAGGAAAACTTGAGTGCGGAGTTCCATGAGCTCATGGTTGAGAGGGGCCGACCTGAGGACGGGGCGCCGAAAACAGGTGAAACGGCCCAAACGACGATAAGAACCATGTTCAATTGCCCATTGCCAACCGCTTTCACTGTTCACACATGTTCACACATGTTAACACGGTTTCAACACCCGTGAGGTTGAGCTCCCAGATGCCAAGCTCCTTAGTAATTGGTCGCGGTGCTCAATCAAAGCGCGGCAGCTGACCCATAACACCCAGAATGCGGTGTATGAGTACTACAGGGCAGACTACGAAGCCTTCGGCTATGATCCACCAAGCTGAGAGCAGCTGTTTTTGCGTTGCAAAACAAAGAAAGATCATTCTTTCCGCGGCGGGCTGTTGCGAAGGTGCTTCACGGAATGAATATGAATTAATGTTATATTCCGGCAATATGACATCCTCAACAAGTTTGCTTCTAATGTGTTCATGCCACTCAGGTGGTTGCACCTCTTTGGCTGGGCTGTGAAGAGGTACCATTTATCTTGCAGGGTTTCCACGTGTTGCACCTTTGGACCCACTTGAAAGCATCTGGCTAATGCAGACTTCCAGGACTTCCAGGGTGGTTATGCCAGCCTGATTGATGGTACAGCTCGCGCCAAGGAATTCCATGGTGATTCCGGATGTCCCCCTAGGAATTCCAAGGATTTCGCTTTGAGAACCGCTCCGGCTTGGCTTTTCCAAACCCGCCCGGTGCGTCCCCCGGTGTAGCGCTCAGGTGGAGGCGCCCCAGATTCCGAGGAGCGCCGGGCGGAGCACACGGCTCAGCGCCTTGGGAGTCGGTCTCCGTTGGGGTCAAAGCCTGTTCCCTTCGGTTCGGGCCAGGAGCTTCGGCCCTCGTACCTTCTTTGCTAGGTAAGGGCCAGGAGCCCCCCCGGCCCTCGCGGTGACCTGCAATCATCAGGGACCCAATCGGTGACGGCTCCGAGGTTCGGAGGACGAACATGAAAAATGTCGAAACGAAGCCGAAGAGGTTCGTCCTTTTCACCATTCCTCTCATGTTGTGTTCTTTCCTTGTTCCTTGCCCTTGCCCTTTCCTTCCCCCTTCCGCTTTTTCCTGAGGCTGTCTTTTGGTTTATCTTCTTTTTGAACTGCGCTGGTGGTGCTCAGAGGCATAGCAATCTGATCTAGTTCTTCCCAACCACGTCGGTGTTTCTGTTTAAAATTAGGCGAATTATCTTCTGTTTGGAACGGCCCGGAGCCCACCAAAAAGTGCAATCTTCTATTGGATGGGTGGAAACAGAACACACGCATACAGTATGCGCAAACATATAGGATTGCAACAATAACCAGTACAATATCTATATGTGGATATACAAACCTATCTATCCAATGACTCCTCGCTCTGTGATTCGGCCGAATCACTCGGTCGGATTGCCCGACTAGCTAACGAGTCGACCACTGGTCAGTGGTGTACCATAGTAACATGCAACAATCAGTGGACCCGATGAGTGGAGAGGGATCCATTTAAGTCCTTTGAATCACACCAAGCTCTTCTACCAAATCTAAGGATGGACATGAGTGAGGGGGTCTTTACAAACACGAAACTCTTCTACCTTTCAGTCTCCACAGATTTCTTAGAAATTTGAGTCTCACCATGTCGTTGAGTCACACCAAGCTCTTCTACCAGATAAAGAAACGCATGCATCTAAGAAAGAAACAGGCCAAGGATGGCCAAGGTTTTCTTCCAAATCCTGGAGTGATGCTCTAAAATGCAAGCTCCCTCAAAGAAGATGGATTGGTGTTGATGCACCATAAACTGTAAATGCCGGGGGCGCAGGGTGTGTCGATATTTGCCGGACAAGTGCAACCAATGTTCTGCAAAGGTGTTGCACAGAGTTTTGTGTGATTATCCCGCCATATCCCGCCTTTTGCCCCTTAAGTATATGCAGTAAACTCTTATTGCAGTCAGTGTTTTTATGTGTCTTGCTCCCGCGATCAGGGAATCCCTCACTTGGCTTACTGTAGTCCGTGTAGTCGGATGTCGCCGGATTTCACAAAAAGATGCCCATGTCATGTGCGGTTGGCCAAATGCTAAACACACAGGCATGCACCAGTTCCAGCAACCCCATGCCCATAGCACTTGCATATACTTGCATCATTTGATTGTGAGTAGTTCCCAAGGAACAGGTCCAAGGCTGACCCTCTTCCGGGCTGAAAAACACCACCACACCATTTAGGCCCGTCGCAGCTGAGGATTCTAGACCTACCATCCCCCTGGAGCGAGCGGCCGGACATCCCGCGCGAGAAGTTCCATGCGCGCTGCTACCAAGGGGCAGCTCGGACGTGCACCTGGAGCGCGCGGGAGGGACGGTGGTGAATTGGACCGGACGGGTGGACGGGGACGACACGTGGCCGTAAACGTTTTTCGATCGGCGGAGTCGAGGAAACAAGGGCGTGCTTTGAGCGTTGTACCAATGATCAATCCAAGACCAAAAGCGAAGCATAGGAAGGGCCAGTGACAACAAGTGAAAAAAGGACAGCAATTCCACCTCAAGCAATAGCTTTTCTGACCTTGACATGGGATATGCAGCTAGATGTTCTTCGGTGTGGCCCAGAGGCAAGCGCTCATTGGTAGCGTGGGAACGTCGACGATGTGAGAACTGCCACGGGTGTGAGACTGGTGTTCCCTGTGAGACTGCCCTCAGGAAAAGACCATTTTCTACCACAAATGCAAAGTGGAGCAATATGCGCCCTACACCCAAGATGACGGTTTGGTGCAGCGCATGACGCTCTACAAGGATATCTTGGAAAGTCGTAGGATTTCTGGAATTCTGCTGAATTGCTTTGCTTTTCTCTTCGCTTCACGGCATTGAATGAAAGTAGCATGCAGCAAGCAGCATTTCAACAGTCGAGTCGATGGAAGCACGTCCGTCAGATCTTCCAGGACGTTCGCCGACAGATCCCCTTGGAGATCCGTGAGCGTTTCAAGCATCGAAAGGACCGGTGGCTTTGACTCCTGCGGCCAAAACATCGGGGACTTCGGCTCGTTCGGCCCGTGAAAGAAGCGCTGGGATCGAATCCCAGATCAAACGAATGTCTGCTTTTTTGGACGGAAGGACAAGCTGATCGAACGAAAGCGCCGGCCCATGCAGAATGAGACTTGGCTGCGGTTTTGGGGCCGTTGGAGTGAACGATCGGGAGTGACGGCCTGGGGTGCAATGGTTTCATGAGCAAAGCATGGTTGAATGAGCTAAGCAAGTTCTTAGAAGTTCTTAGAAGTATGGTAAAGGCATGATTGCTTGAAATGGTTATATTATAACATATATATAGTATTGCTCATCTACATGTTCGTTATAGTTTGTGTTGGTAGGCATTCTGCTTCTGTCGCGACAGCTGGTGTTGGTGGCATAGCTGGTGGCTCCCTACAAGCGCGCGCTTGTCAGGAGACCATCGAGCGCTTTCTGCCGGGGCGGCCCTCCACCTCTGCCACCAACGCTGGTGGTGCACTGAAAGAGTTCCGAGAGGCACGAGGAGGGTTTTCCGACAGGAGAAAAGCATGAGCAAAATCCCGGCAGAAAGCATATTGAGGGTATCCCGCGGGATGGGGGGGGTCCATCCTGATCACTCTGTTTTTTTCCAGCTGATGTTACATGATAGTTACATGTTGTGTTACCCAGCCAACCATCTATTCTACAAGACAATCCAGTTGACCAACTAGACTTTGCAACTCTTGGTTTGGCCACCTCCAACCTTCCCGGTTTTCCTACGCTCTGCATCTCGCTCCCACGTTCGACCGTGTGGCGCCAAGCACGTGCGCGAAGTGCGCGCACCTAGCGCGCACCTCGCGACCGGTCACAGATCAGCGCTTTGAGTCGCGAGCTGATCTTCTACAAGAGCCGTTTGGATGGCCTGGTCCGATCGGTCGAGATCATCGGCAGGCCGAAGCGGGGGCGGCATGGTGGGCGGCCGTGGCATGACGTGGTGAGCGGGGCAACAGAATAAGAAAGAAGAAGCTAGTAGGTTGGAGGCCATCGCCATCGCTACTGGTAGCAAGAAGGCTACTAGTAACAAGGGCAGGCTTCGCGTTTTCGGCATTCAGAAGATTATATAAGCAGCCTTTGAAATCAGAATCCACAACGCGTAGGAGTGGGACTAATTAATCGCAGGTCATCAGGTCGATCCACTGGAAGTGAATTGTAAGACCTGCTTGAGACAGGCTTAACGTGGCTTACCTGGAGCACTTCTCAGCTTGCTCAGCTTGGTCAGTGGTTTTGCCTGCGGGCACTTGATTTTATAACTTCACTCGAGTGGGAGGGTTGCCGTGGAAACGATTTGTTGTGCCTCAAGAAAGGGACGGAATCTTCAGGGTTGGTGCTGTTTCATGGTGTCATCGACCACACATTTTTGGTGCCAGGAAGATGTTCGAGTACTTTGAAGATCGTGATGACCGATTGATTTACCATTCAGAAGCTTGCTTGCACAGCTCGAACGCATGTTCCGAGTTGACTGTTCATCAATGGCTGTCCTTCGCGAGCAGGGAGGGATCACTACCCAGGCCCCCAAAAAATAGCAAAAAAATTGTCTAATGCTAACACCGAAAAGAGGTTGAAGGCTGTTCTTGACTGTTGGTCGTGGTCTTGATCGCTCTTGATCGACGTATGCATTTTGAATCATGTTGAGTCCATCTCAGATTGAACGCTCATTTGCGGTCGCTCGGAATGGACTGTAGAAGATGCGGACTGGAAGTTGGGTGATGGATGCGATATATCACCCTGAAGCTAGACAAAAGGTTTGCTTATACAAAACAATCTTTAAGCAGATTTAAGGTTTGCACACGTTTTCCTCTTTTTGGTTTTGGCATTGTATACCACTGTTTTTGTATGCTGCTAGAGCCAAACTGTCAAGGCACAAGCCATAATTCAATCACAAGCAGACTTGCCGGGTCATGCTGGACTCTGAGACAAGAACATTGAAGAAATTTAAACTAATCTACACACGGCATGATCCTTTGGAGAGAACCAATGCAATACATTAGGCTGACACCACGGCTCCCTCATCCTCAGTTGATGTAATTCGCTGAAGACTCACATGGACTCACGTGCGAACTCGGTTTGAAGCAACATATATAAGATCGATCATCACCCCATACATGAACTCCCCCGCCACTTGGTCTCATCAGAAGGATTCCTGATGTTCCCAACCTTCTAGAAGTTTCACTCGTCTCCTTGAATGGACTCTAATTGGTCCTCGATGTTCAGTAACTCGCCAACACGCCTTGTCAAGAGCGGGACTCTTCGTTTGCTTTCCACTGGCAGAGCTTGCGCACGTGACGGATCAAAGGATGCGGGATCAAAAGTGTCCTCCTATAGCAACCCGGAACGGTTGTATCGAAGTTCCACTGACTGGGAAGAGCTTGGGCTACAAGCCTTCTCCTTGCAGGTAAGTTGACACTAGTCCTCCCATGAAGCAGGGCTGGATCGACTTTAGCTTGATAAGTCAACCTAGATCAAGTGTCTTGCGCAAGGCGGACGGCCTATTTATATACAGTAGATAGAGCTAAGCCGTCAAGTCACGCACTCGGTCATGTCAAACAGCTGCCAGTACAACCTGCGCAAGGTGGACAAATTGCAATGGCCACCAAAGCGAAACAGCTGAAATCACAGACAAAACTCCAGACGACAAGCCAAACTAGTTCACATTATCTTATCATGAATTGAACAATGCAGCCTATGAAAACATGTTGCAAATGGGCAATTACTTCAAGTCACGCCTACTCCCCCACTGAGCCAAAAGGACCAGCCGCTCTTCCTTTCCAACTCTCCCACGCTGCAGGTCACGCTGGACCCCAGCAGTCTGACGAGCGGAACCCTGCGAACGGGCACCAAGAGCAAGGAGCTGGCGGGAGCGTGGGACTGTTCTAATTTTACACTGCCGTTTTTCTTGCCAGGTTGGAAAGTGATGATTCTGTCGCATTTTTGCGTTCTAGTTAAGAACTTCGGATGGCAAATGTAAGTCCTGCCAGTAATGGTAGTAGTAATGGTTAACGTTCCAAATCGCTTTTGAGCATAAAATTGGCTTGTTTGGTGCCCCTATGTCAGAAGAGGTTTCTTCAGATTGGCTGATCTCAAAGCCTATAATGGTGGTTTTAGGGCCGGAATTTGGACTTACATTCTCAACAAGAAACCATCACAACTACGCAGGGCTTTTTGATAGCCGGGACCGTTCTCGAGATGCCTTTGCAGTGAAGTTGATAGCAGTTCGCACCTCCTCCAGTCGCATCAATCATCGGGCATGGACGTCAGCCCATGATGGATGGGATACTGGGCTTGGATGGACAAGTCAACTGACTTTGGTTCCGGATTTCAAGGTCAGAACATGTCAGAACCTCCTCGAGGCGGACCGATCGTCCGCATGTAACTCGATCTTTGGAAGGACACCTACAATGTGGAGTCGGTCGGGGACGTGCCCATCAAGAAGATGACAGAGAAGTTTCGCAGAAATCCTGAGGCAAACTCGGTCGCTACGTGCGGATGCTTGCTCTAGTTCCACCAAACAAGTCTGGAACCATTTGGGCAAACATCATCTCCGTTTTGCTTTGTTTGAAGCATGTTGTTGACCTGTTGCACATGTTGAACTGTTCTCTCTTTGTAACGTCGCTAGGTGCCTGCGGATGAAGACATCGCCAAGATCAGCCGCTCAACTTGTTTCAAGTAGTGTGTAGGCTTCTGAAAGTCGTTAAGCACGATTGCTTGGCTGTGAATTGGCAATGTATTCCAGGATTCAATATAGCAGAAGCATCTAAAGAAGCAGACATCCTCAAACCAGCCATCTTGGGGCTGCAGAATGCTGATTTGATAGTGTTGCATTCAAATTGGTGGCTGCACTATGTGAGGCTCCACGTGTGTGTGTAGCACGAAAAATTAATAGATGGGGGGGTCTGCACTTGATATACTTTGCAGGGTAGGTTCGTGCACTCGAAGATCTCTCGGTGCCCCCGGCCCTTGTTCCTCCGTTGGAGACGGCTTTTTCTCGGGGACACCCACGGCCTCCACTGTGTTTAGTTGTCCCAAGGGGTCGGGTCGACCGGGTTGGGCACCGAAAGCACTTCGCGGCCCCTGCCGCCTGAAAGGGGCTCGGCCAGCCGAGCCCTTTGTGCCCTCCATGTCATACCTATCTCACACCAAAGATTCAGGATCCAGTTACCTTTTGTGGCATCAGGTGGCACAAAGCTACGGAGCATAAGTTTGTTGGAATATGAGAGCTTTGACACCTTTCTCATGCAAATCTTTCACCCAATCTTCCCATGTTGCTCGCACCTTTTCGCGCAGACTCGGCGACCAGTCAGATGTGAGGCTTCTACTTGACTGAGCAGAGTTCAGCCTCGATCTACTCCTCAACTGGAAAGATTCGGGTGGACTACCACCGAGACCCAGGCTCCCTCACCTTTAGCCACTCGTAGAACAAGAGGCTCCGAGACCCGGGGAAAATGGATTGCTGGGGCAATCACTTGCCCCAACTGACCATACTGTGCCCATACCGTGCCCAAAACCTGGCAATAAGTGGCAAATGTGACAAGTGATCGTTTGTAAGGGGTGATTAAACGGATATTAATTACTGTATTTGCTGTGGCCTTTGGGTTGTGAAGGACGAGGTGTTTTGATGATCTAGGAAGAGCTGCTTTGGAGGTGGTTCGAGCAGCTTAAGCTTTGGAGGCGTGGCTTGAAGTGGGGTTGGTATTCTATCTCAGGTGATCAGACTCTATATCGCCATTGGCAAATTCCCCCAGTTGGCCCATTGGCTCATTGGCATAGATATTTTTTTTTAATTACACTTAGGTGATGGGGACTGTCGGGGCCACGCTGCTCAATGACGAACGCCCACATTTCCCAGTATCAATCCTTGATTGATCACAAAGAACACACGAAAGCAATCAAAAGATGGTTCTTGTTGCTTGTAATCCTTGGTCAACTTGCAAGTCGCCCGTGGTTTCAGTTGGGGGCCAACCATTGCCATAGCCGGAGATGTTGCCATGCCATGCAGTCATGTGACCGCTCACATTCTTTCAGGACAGTGCATGTATCACTACGAAGATGGCAATCTGCGGCGTCGTCCGGCGAGTTTACCCCAACCGACCCAGGCGGGGCGCCGACGTCTTCTCCGCCGGTTCTCTCGCTGTCCGTAGACCGCACACCGACCGTTCGCACCCGCCGGCTTCAGGCAGAAGTTCACAAACTCCTGCAGATGCAGTCGACGTGTTGGGCCCTGAGGGAGGGGGGGGTCGCAGTCGCAGAAGCAGAAGCGTTCGCAGCAACTTGCTCAGTAAACGGGCGCTCCATCAGGTCGCGACCGCATCGGAAGCTCAGCGACAAGCATTGGCCAGGAGATGGGGGTGCGAGGAGTAGCGGGCGGACAGATTGAACGTCAAGCACGGTTCAGTAGAGTCTAGCTGCTGTTTGGCTACCCAGCCACG